TGAAGATCTTGTCTGTGTCTTATCTTCAACCCCTGAATTGTCAGCCCATAATTTCTTCAGGGAGTCGTTTACAACTAAGATAGTTAGATTTGAGAGCAGTGCTCTAAGACATTTGCTGACGGATGCCACATCAGCGGTAACTTGGTGTCCATCTCTTCATATCACGAAGGCAACCTCTTGTCACAGGAACGATATTATCCACAATTTTTGATAAATGAATTATATTCTCATCGAGTTGGACTAACTTGAAATATGCTTCGCATCACATTAACGCATTAACCTAGCGGATAGGGTAGAACGAGAGTTAAAGCTTATCTCACTTTCGGACTTCAAATCCGTTTCAGCGGCTATGTTTTGTGAAATGATTTAAAATCACAATTTTTTTTTTATGTATTAATATATTCTTTTCCAAAGAAAAGCTAATTTGAGGGAGTAGCGGGTATCAATGTAAAGCAGCCACAACCTTCTTCATTTGTATTCTGATGCGTAACACTAAATTTTTCTCATCAATTTTTCAAGGACTTTCTTGACAGGAAGCCGACCTGGTCTTTCAAAAAGACTACATTTATTTTTTTCCAGGAAACAACCATTTGGATCGCTGCACAACATTCCAAACAGTCACTAAGATTTTTTTCTACTCACAGAAGTTATCAGCTTTCCTAGATATTTATTTTTTCACTAAAAAGAACCTGAAACTTCCATTTATCGAAATTGCACGGTTTTTTCTTCTTACTCTTCGGATAGTATTCTACTAAATGTAGAAATTTCTTTTTGTTAGCTTGAGTGTTTACAGGGATATCTTGAATTACTTTACTTTTTGTTTGCTTTACCATATCGATTCAATTAGCCTGATCTTTGGGTTTGTACAACCTCTTTCTATTAAAATGTTCTCGATATTACTGGGTTAGCCATCGCTTTTGTACCGTTAATGTAAATATTTTTTGTTTTGGTGTTTTCTCTAGAAATAGATTTGTTTGTCGTTAAGGTGCGATGTTTCGCAACAATTTGTCTTTCTTTGTCGTTACATTCTGTGTTAGATCATGAATGTGCAAGTAGTCATCTAAAGTTTTGAGAATGATGTAACAACTATTGCAATAAAATTTAATTTGTAGTTTGTGAAAAAAACACCATTCTGCGCCCTCACCTTGCCCAGGAACGTTAATGTACAACGTTATCCGTCGGCCAGCGCTTAATTTCATATAATAAGCCTAACACAAACATATTTAATGGATATAATTGAAAGTTTTGTTCTCATTCTACATACAAAACAGTTGGCCTATATGCGTATCAATTGTAATGATGTGTGATAATGTATGGGATAAGAAAGATAACTCACAAGAAATTCCCTTGAAGTTGGGTAACAAAATCCGTTTACTCTGCCGTGACGTTGCGGTAGGAACAGTGGAAATCGAAAGAGAAAGCAC